AGTGAACCGATCTCGAATCACCAATACATCCTTATCCGGCATGATCCCATCTCTCGCCATCTTCTGAGTGTTCATGAGATCGAAGGTGATAAGGTCACCAAATGCCTTCAATTTCCGTTTGAAAGCTCCCTTGCTAGTCTTGTAGTGCTTCATCTTTGCTCTCACACATGACTTGCAGTATGGGTTCTTGTATCGGTGCGTCATCAGGTGCAGTATGGATTTCGCCTCGTTCTTCAGCACTCCTGGTTTTGATAGTCTGGCTTCCCCGTCAACCACATCGACTTCCAATAGTCCCTCTTCATCTTCACCAATGTCACTCTCCTCTCGTTCTGAATCCGCATCACCTCCATGTTCGTCGTCTTCGGTTTCTTCAGGTTGACCATCGTGATCACGATCGATTCTCGGGTCTTCTCCGTCATATTCCTCTTCAGGAGAATACCTATCATCACCGTGTTCCTCTGGTTCTCCTTCGACGCCTGCAACAGCTGGATTGATATCAGATTCACCATCCCGATCTCTCTGGTTATCTCTCTTCTTTCTCCTCCGTCTCCGTGGTTTCTTAGGCGGAGGTTCCTCTTGTTGTGTCTCCTGACCTGCTGTGGCCTCGTCTTCATGCCCCACACCTGACAGTATGCGATGAAGTATCGTAGCCAAGCCGTCTGGTCTTGGTAAACATCTCCCGTCATCATCATTCACCTTGATGTAGGGTATGTTGTCATGCACCGATAGCGGAATCTTGTTCGCGTTCTGGTCAATGAGGTATGGCAACTGATTTGCCGGCCATATGAATGAATACCCTTGTTCCATGCACCGTTTCCCGATGGAGAAGACTGATGGTGTGCTCTCCAACACGTGTGCCTCGGACATCATGGGTAGTTCGTCCACATTGATGTCCACCATCTCTGATGTACTAGTTACGCCATTCGCTGTCATGAAGCTCACGGATTTGGGTCCTTCCTTGGTGGTAAGGCCCATGGCATTGACTTTCTCTCTTGAGATCAAGTCGTGTCCACATCCCGTGTCCATGATGAAGCGTATCGGTGGTCCATCATACCTCTCCACAGCCATGAACATCGTGTCTCCTGGTATCGTGTAGTTGACAGGATCCTTCCTTACTACCTCGCTGGTGTTGAAGTCAGACAGGTCGACGTTCACCTCGATTCCTTCATCTTGAGTGATTTGTATCCATGCCTTGGCAATGTGTTCAGCAGAGTATAGCTCCATCATCTTACCTTTGGCATGTGCTACTCGTGCAGCTATATTGTTCACTCTGAGGGCTCTCAACGACGAAATGAGCTCGGTATCCACCTTCTGCACCTCATCCTTCTTCTTCCTGAGAGGACGGGTATTTAGCTCGTTACCAGGATCACAGGTAAACGTAGTCACACTCGCCCGGTCGTCGAATCTGACTTTAAAGCGAAGCGCCAGCTTACCTTGTTGTACGTTGGGAAGTGCGGGTCGCGCGTCCTCGCCATCACTCTCGATGTCTCCGCAAAGCATGAAGGCTGGCGCAGCCGGTTTGGGCTTGGCTTTCCCTTTAGCCTCTTGTTTTGTAGCAGGAGCAGCGTGATGCTGGCGTCGACATTTGTCCCCGAACTTGCACGATCCTTTCTGCCAATTCCAACAGACCTGATCCTTCATCGGCTTAGGGCTAGTGCTCCTGCCACCAGGACTCTTTGATCTGTCACCCTTGAGGCTTTCTGGTTTCTTAGCAGAACTTTTGTGCTTTTCTTGGTGACTAAACTTGCATTTGTCTCCTCTAGAACATCCGTTTTTCCCATGAAAGTGGAAGGCGCATCCTATCTTGGACGTATCTGCTGGAGTCGCTGACCTGCCACGATCCCCCTTTGGGCTCTTCGTGGTTGATCTTCCACGATCCTGCTTCTTGTCCTTCTTGTTGTGGTCCTTCGGATTAGCCTGAGGAAGTACTGGAGCGGCGTCCTTCGGTGGATCGGCCTTGGTATTCTTGGGTTTCGCCTTAGGGTCCTTCTTCTCCGCCGCTGGTGTGGCTTTCATGAGGTTCCCAAAGGCTTTTTCCCTTTCTTTCTTGTTTGTGGTCTCGATTGATTTCCGTATCCACTTCGCCATGATCTCTCGTAACTTCTGGTAGGTCTTATCCGGGTCCTTATCCAACATATTGTCGTACACAGACAAGTCTAACGCCATGACCTTGGAATCCTTAATCTTGTCCCAAAGCAAGTTGCGGAGTGCTTTGTCAGGAAGCATGTCGTCCGCATCCATACCTGATATGATCTCATCCCACTGTCCAAGGAATCTGGATAGTTGATTATCCCCAGGGAACTTTAGATCGAATAAGTGCTTGGATGCATACATCACATCGACGTTGTCGGCACTCCGGAAGCTATCGACGATCAACGCTAACATTTCTCGTCCCTTGACCATTCCAGGAGTTGTACCTCTCGCACGTCTCTGCATCATCTGCCTCACCTTCAGTTGTACGTCATGAGATCTCTCACCTGCTGCGTGGATGATCGTGTGTAGGGTGATACCTAGCTTAGCATCTATGCTAGCGAATCTTGCTTCGCCTGATGTCTCGAGCAGAAATGGGTCATATGGTGATCTGAAGGCATCCGAGAGCCACTGGATCCAGTCTTCTTGTCTTTCGTCGCCCGATGCCGTCACGACTGCCGCTACGACCTGGGATTTCCAAACCTCCAGGTCGTGTATCTTGGGCCATGCAGGGATGTTGATCTTCTCGTGTTCCTTCCGAGATATCTTGGAGCCACCCGAGCTAGAGGATGAAGCAGCACCATGTTCGGTTGCGGCTGCATTCTCAGCATTCAAGCGCTCCTCTTCGTACCTCCTCCGGTACTTATTCCTCTCATCTCTGAGCCGTGCTGCATGCGCTTCGAATTCCATCATGTCCTGTTGGTTCTGCATCATACCTTCGTAGTACTCCATTGCCTCTTTCTCCTCGGACCTTAATGACTTTTCGGTACGTCCAAGTTCCGCTCTAAGCTTGGTCATCATCTCGCTCTCCACATTGGGTCCTGATCCCATGTCTGGTGGTTTCAACTCCAGTGCGACCTTCAGTTGTGCTTCACTTGCACTTGATTCGATCAATTCTTCCTGAAGACGTTTCAGCATCCTATCTTTACGTAGAATGTCCTCTTCCAACATGTTCACCTTGACCTCGGTTTTCTTGAGCTCGGCGTTGGATGGTTGAGACGGTCGACCGGATCCTTGAATCCTCGCCTGTGTCAACTCCTCGTTCGCCCTCTTCAATTGCTCCCTGATGGTCATGATGAAATTGTCCTGATTATAAGATCGGTTGTTGAGCTCCTCATTCTCTTCTGATAACCATTTGATCTTGCTTGCATACATTGCTTCCTTCATCTTCATCTCCTCAGTATATTCGTGTTTGTTCCTGGCATTTTGCCTTTGTAGTCCAACTAACTCCTGTCTATACAGATCCCTAATGTTCTCAGCATCTGCGATTGCAGTCATGAGCTCGGTTACGGCTCGATCTCTTTCCGCCGATATAGCCTGGATCTCTTCCGTGCCGATGTTCACAACTTGACTAACCATCTCTGCGCTGTTGCGATCAGCGTACTCCCCTAACTGGGTGAGACGATCCCGCATTGCCACACGATCAGTGTCAATCTGGTATTGCAAATCGTGTGCTGCTGAGAGCAAACAGTCTCTGGATTCTGTAAGTTGGGAGATTCTTCGTTGATTTCCATATCCTTCGACATAACATTCTTCGAGGTGTGCCATCACTACTTCGTGGACTTCGGTCTCGTGTTGTATAATCTGGTTCTGTCTCTGCTCACATTCGACCATCCATGCGTTTTGGTGGTTCAACATATGCACTTCGGCAATTAGTTGTGCACACTTCGCATTGAGGTCTCCATCGGCCCGTGCTAGTTGTAGGTTGTCAGTGCTTGCCCTTGCTCCATCTCCAGCTTCGCTGTCCGACGGTACTGGTACAGTTGACCCATCCTCCAATGCTAGCACTCTCACAGCTCCGGTGTCAGTTCTCCTCCTTGTCTCCCTAGGACTACGGCCTGATCTCGGTGTCCCCCCCGGTGGTGTCGAGTGCGCTGACGGGGAACGACTTCGTGCTCTACCTGTCGCAACTTCTCTCACCACTGTCAGAGTCTCCGCTTCGATCGTACCTGGACTAGAGTTGTGGGATGCACTCATCCGATCTGCGGCCGCAGCAGCTGCTCCAAAGGATGCAGTGCTGGCGTCGGATTGGTCCATCTTCAGTGACTGAGGGTAACTGATCTATCCGATGCGTGTGCGTTTAGATGGTGTTGTGTAAGGCCGCAGCTCGTACCCAGCTCAAAGGAGTCTGGATACGGCTGATAACCTGCGAACGGATGGAAAGGTGTGCCCTGGCCCCGTTCTAGCCCTTAGGTTGACATGAAGCTCGCGCGCTAAAGCTCCTTTTTACCTGGTTGGGCACTTGAGCCAAAAGTATATGGCATGTACCTGTATAGCGACTATACTGGGACCCCATCCCTGTTGACACATATATATATTATACATACATACAACATATATATATATATTATAGCGGTGTATATTTAATACACAATATACATAATGATACTGATCACAATAATAGATGTATACTCGCTCCTCTTAATGTTCACCGTTGATTTGTACCCCTTTCCCCCGAGATGTGTGCCATATCTCCGGAAGGGCGAATGAACCGTCAACATGACACTTAGGGACTGCATCATGTCGAGACTTAGGAGTGTTTTGGCTTTTGACCCAAACACGTTCACAAGGAGATGGGAGAAGAAGCGACTTGGAGTGCAGTCCTCCAGGAATATATCATCCATCAAATGAACCCCAGAGTTTGCCTGATGATTGTAGAGATAAATATGTGGCCACAAGAAGAAAGCACACCCTGTAGCCTCTCAAAATATGGAGAGCCCAGTGGTTTGTTGTGTTTGTTTAGACTACAAGTAATTATCCGATTGTGCCCCGTCTTGTGCCACCTGAATGTGTATCCGACCCAGATGCACCTCCTTGGCGGCTGCGTGCTTCGATGCCACCTGAGACATCTCCTTTCGCGTCGTGTCCTCGGCACCAAAGGGACCGAAAGGCGCAGCATGGCCGGTGGGTTTGGTGGGGAAGCTGCAAGGCTCTCGGGCTGGAAGCATTCGACAGCTGGACATGGGTTGTGTGTTGCGTTGCATTCGGGTTTTCTTTTCCCACACCTCACCTGCGAAGGGTGAAGAGCATTCAGTTAAGCCGGATCATGCCCTTCGATGATCTTTGATTAGCATATACTCCGGAAAACGAACGCGGGCAAACAGGATCGAAACTGCTAGCTGGGGGTCTATGCTGTGTGAAATCCACCAGCTCTGAATCAAGTATCGAGGTCCCATTCCTCAGTGCTATTGTTCTCTCATGTTCATGCTGGATATTGGGTCTACGCAAGTTACCTTAGAAGGTAATTATACTATTCAGTATTATTGCAATTTGTGAGGTAGAGAGTTACGAAACGAAGAACTTCTCGTTGTCCAAAAGCCCCTCAAGGCTTCTTACACTGTACCTGTGTACCAAACGAAGCAAGAGCGGCCCGAATTTGAGACTGGGACCGGCACTTTTTGAGTGGAACGGGGCCTGGTCAATTGATAATGGGATTTCCACCAATCCCTGGGTGAGGTGCTAAAATGGAAGGAAAGGAATTCCTGAATGAAACCAAATGACAAGCTTGCACTGCCTCGAACAAACACATAGGGATTCATGAGCATACTAAATTCCAAGAACCTCAATACTTTGGCAATCCTCAACCCCAACAACTGCCGCTCGGCATCTGGCCTTTTGACTACTTCGCCGGTCGGAAATATGACGGTTTGTGTCATTGAATTGGTGAAACCTTGCATTCTACGACCAAAATCTTTGAGATCTTTCACCCTCTTCGGGCACTCAAATCACATCCACAGCCTGTGATCAGGTTGCGGCACTCAAATTCCACATCCATTCGGACCAAGTGCTTCGAAGTGCTTCGGTCGCGCCCACGCCGCCCGCTGTTTTCGGGCGGCCTTACTGAAAGCGCATCGCCATCGCGGCCTCCGACTCCTCGCTGTCCGAGGGCCCCGAGGCGTCGCGCGGGCGCCTCGGCGGATTGGATGATGCAACGGTGAAATGCCAGGACCATTGGCCTAGGAAGTACACAAACCACATTGTAAAGACACTCATCACTGAGGAAGTGGTCCAAGGATGCTCTCCCAGTTCTTCTTTCAATTTGGGAGTCTCGCACTAGGAAGGACCATTGGCCCAATTCACTCACCAAGACAAACACTGTGGACTCCCCCTTGCTACGTAAGGGCCAGCAGCGCTAGCGCGGCAGTGGCGTCTCCTGGCCTAGATGCTTTGTTTGACTTCTTGTGATAGCCTCCAACAAAAAGAGGGTGATGTGCCATCCACAGGGGGTGTGGCATCCTGTTCTCGGCTTACTTCCGTTTCTGTGATGTGTGACGTGCTCAACTTGACAACAAACAATCTCCTTCGATATCCCGACAGAAACTGGGCCGACATCATCCATGATTCCCGCGTCTGACCGATGATATTCTTTGCGATTCCTGAGTTCTGCCGATTACTAGTCATACTGTACCTTTTTCACATGCAATCATCTCAGTTTGCAACTGACTTACTCCAGGAAAAGTCATGGAGAGGCTTGCAACAAGCACCCCAGATTCCTTGAAGTTGCAAGTTTGCACACCAAGGGCGTTTTGCCGCAGCATTTTTTTGATACCAGTACGACCATTCCGATTATGAAGTGCTGCCTCAAGCCACTACACCAAGACTTTCCTGCACCAAAAGCCAAGCCTGTGACGAGCCTTCACACCACGTGTTTTTACACCAACCCTTGAGTCGAAGAGGGGGAGCGCAGCCTCCGGTCCTCCATCTTGGAGAGCCGACTAATTATCGTTGAGTCGTACGGCTGCCGCCCAGTGTTTGCCAGGATGGATTTTAGAAAAACATCCTCGTGAAGCAATGGCCACTGACGCTTCCTGAGGAACAAGCGGCTATGAAACCCTCGTTCTGGTGTAGCCGTGTTCTGTCGTCATCTGGTGTACTCCTTACCCTCAAGAGTGGATGAATATCTGGTCCCTGGAAACTCCCGGTGTTCGTCCGAGCCCTGAAAAGCCGGCACATCCATCAACCAAATTACTCGTCCCTCGGCGCTTGCTTGCACTTCGCCTTGGAGTCTGTGACACTTCGGGGCTGCAAAAATCAGTGGATCATGGAAGATCATGCCTTTCAAAGAGAACCTTGCTCAGCCATAAGGACGCTCAGTTTCACCACTGATGGCAAAGGCAGGGTATGGCAGGATGTAGAAGTGTGAAGCTCAAGAGGCTATTCACGTTGTCGTTACACGAGCACATGACAAGAGTATTGAGTAGAGGAGTGCCAAAAGAACCAAGCTATAGAGGCATGTCTTTACTTCTGGATCCCAACTGATGCGCTTTTGCCGGCTTCACCCTTAAAAGAGTTTTCAGAAAAACAAAAAACTGTTAAAGCAGGACATAGCATAGACTCACGTCAGGGATTCCTGTAGGAAAGCTATGTTGGAAGTTGGAAGTGTCTATTCCCAGTGTGTGAAGGTAGTTGCAGGGGATACTAGGCCAATACTAGGTTTCGTTTCTCTGATGACCCCTGTCTCAATGTTCAAGAAACAGAAAACAATTTTTCCGGATCATGTATGAACAACAATCTGGATGGGATGTCGGAACAAATAATGGTGATTTCAGCAATGGCATTTGAATGCTAATGGTGAACTCATCCCAAAATACCCATTGTTGTGACATGTACTGAATCGATTGAAAGCTCAGAAGCACAAAAAACAATTCACCAAATAAATGCCACAACACCCATCTTGAGCAAACAACTGTTTCGGAGACATCTCTCATGAGACGAATTTTCACTGCAGTCCAGGTCGCCTGTAGTGTTTCAGGATCCATGTGTTCCGTGACTTCGCGACAGGACGCTTCGCTCAAAATGTGATGCTGACAAGCTGACCTCAGGCGGTAGCTTCGGAGTCTCCCCAAAGAAATCCAGAATCAGGGACAGTTGAGGTTGTCTAATTTCCTCCCAGTTGGGCGGGTGGGCTCGATATTCTCTTGGTTGTTGTCTAAATAGTCCTAGAATGTCCTAGATGTATTCGCTTTCAATTTCTCTGCGATGGTTGATCTTGTTGCAATCCTTGTTTTGGCGGACGACTTTTTGTCGTGACTCTGTGACTGGAATTGTGATTGTGGTTATTGTTGTTGTTGATGGTGGTCGTTGTTGATGTTCATGCTTGTCATTTGCACCGTCAGCCTTCCCCACCCCGTGGGCATTCCCACCTCCTTTCCTTGCTGCTGCGGTGTTGCTCATCAAAGCCTTGTGGCATAATTTTAAGTGTCAACTGCATCCAGCTTTCAAAAAGTTAAAGTTGTAATTACATGTGAATATGCACACTGCATGCATGTATGAGTACTGTGTATCATTACACACACACACACATCGTATGTATTTTTCACTTTATCCGATACATGGATGTTACATGATTTTACCAGGTACCTCTGTTGTCATATGCCATACACCAAGCTGCCACTTCGCAAAGCTTCGCTCACAATTTGGACACTCATATCCTCGGTTGTGATCATGGAAAAACCTTCTCTCAGATCTGCCGCTCCTCCCTGGTTAATCGTAGTTCCCAACAAATTGAAAACGCATTCAGCGGTTGTCGAAACGGCTCCAAAAGGCAACGACAACTTCTTGCTATCCTGGATGAGTGGTCAGAATTCAAAAGTTGCTGCGGGTAGATGTCAAACCGATTCCGTGTTTAGCAGTCTTGTAAAGATGCAAATCGAAAAGACTATATGCAAATATTCAACGACGTATTAAAAGGGGATGCTTGAAAAAAAACATGACATACAATAATCCAATCGTTGTATCTACATCCCTAAAACATAAGACAGTCTACGTGGAATCAACCAAACCCAATGATCTTTCACGACTGCTCCACCAGAACATCCGCTCTACTACAAACGGCTCCCCATCTGTTCCTTCATGTTCACATGTTTCGATGGTGGGAGGGTGAATTACTCAATGGTACCCGTGAACGACCTTTCTGCCAAACTTGGGTTTTGCATCCTTGTCAATCCAGTGGCCCAAGGGCAACCATGAGAACCCGCCAATAAATTCGCTTCAAGCAGGTTTAAAGCCATGAAAACACCCTGTTTTTTTTCAATTGTGCTGCAGTTTTCCCAACAAAATCATGCGACTTGTTCATTTCTCATTTCTGCCCAATCTTCGAGGCATGTTCAACAAGGCCTTCTCCGGTGGAATCTCCGACCGGTGCATCGCACGCTCGGAGGGGGGGGCCCAGCACTGCCTGGCGAGACGACGATGCCCGGTTTCCGCTGCACAAGAACCATCCCCGGACACCCTGTCGTCTATTGAACGACATGATTCGGACACTGGCGCGATGCAAAGCAGTAATCATCTTGCGCTAAGGCGACCACCAAAGGACGTGACCTGTGATGCGTATAGTGCAAGAAAACTATGAAAAAGGGATGGTTCACGGGGTGGAAAAGTTTTCACAACCTTCAGCTGTGCCCAGGCCGTTCACCAGGCAATGTGGTGTCAACGCCCTTTTCCGCTTATGGGACGCGACTGACAACAACCCCAATAACATGCAGTTGCATGCACGTGCTGTTTGTTTTGTTCTCTTTTTTTCTGCTCCTGCCGCGGACGCGCGTCGAGTCGAGTCTCCAAACGAGCGTTTCGCACGAGACTTCCTCCACAAGTCACGCGTCAAGTGTCCAAAGAATGTTTTGCACGACACTTCCTTCAAGAGTGACGCTTCAATTCTCCGAAACGAGCTTTTCCTCCGAGGTTTCATGGGGAGTCTTCAAAACGAGCGTTTTGTGCAGTTGGACTTGGACGGTACGGTTGCATCGAGCAAGGAACAGATGTGCCTTTTCCCCTGTTTCCTGTGGTTGATATCACTCTGGATGTGTTGCGCGCACCGGCGCTATCTGGGAAGCGCTCATACCCTGGCAACGCAAGATGATTCTGCAGC